ATGAATCATTAATCATCTTTATATGGTTGGAAAGAGGTGCTTCATAGGGTGGCATGGACATTTTTTTTTTATTAAATTCTAATTATATAATTTCCAGAAAAAAACTTTGAAAAAATGTATTTTTTTTAAATATCAAATATTGATTTTTATCAAAATCTGGCTTCATTCTTTATTTAAAACATGCATTTCTTGTATATAAATATTCAAATAACATATACTGTTTAAAAGACAACAAAATGGGAAAAACACATGTAAGGCCACATCAAATTAATTTCTTGTTCTTCAGACTCCTTCTGTCAACAACAAAAAAAAAAAAAACGAGTGTGTGTAATAAAAAAAATTTTCTCCAAAATTTAATTTTTCATAGGCAAAAGAATTTTCTTCTAGCAAATGTCAATATTTACAAACAAATCTGAAGAAACAATTCAACAGAAAGAATCATATTCAAGCAAGCGAATTTTTTTTAATAATTAAAATTAAATTATTAAGGTGGTACCAAACACCTTGTCTAAAATTAATTTAGCTCGTTTAATTTTCAGAAAATTTTGACAAAATATTTACTTTGACCCTTTGACAAAAATATAAAAATTTCAAAAAACTTGAACCACACACTTTATCGGAAAAATTTCATTGGATATATAGCAGTTTGACAAACACTAATTTTGATCATTGAGAAGCTTAATATTGCCTTAACAATAGAATGTGATTAAAATGTTCAGCTGATTTTTACAGAGTTATCTCCCTGTAGTGTTATGTACCACCTTAAGGAAGATTTTTTCAAGTGAGCAAAAACATTTGCAAATTATTTGTGTTTTACATTTTTTGTAGATTATTCTACTTTGCTTCTAGATTCATTTTCTGACAAATTACCTTAACATCAATATAAAGTCTTCCTTTAAATCTTTGCATCAGATTTCCATGCAGTACATTATTTACATTAAAAAACAGTGACAAGTATGTCATTAAATTGAGAATGGAAACAGGGAATGTGTCAAAGAGACAACAACTTGACCAAAGAGCAGAAAAACAGCTCAAGGCCACCAATGGGTCTTCAACACAGTGAGAAAATCCTGCATGTAAGTGCTTGTGCTTATACAGTATTAGTAGCAAAGCTTGTTATTTTACATGTGTATGTACAACTTGACTTCCAGTCATTTTATAATGCAGACTGCAGAGTTGAACACCTTTGATATATGAATGGAATGGAACAATTATGAACGGTCAACTATACAGACATCTTTTAATGCTGCCCCACAGATGGTCATCTGGTGAAACAAGCATAAATTATGACAATTCTTCATCCTTTTTCTGGAACTGGAAGACCCAGGAATGTTGATAGATGTATCTTACATATAAAGTGCACCCAAATGAATACATAATTTACAGAAGTGCTTAGGTCTGAGTGAATCTGATTTGGGTATGGCAGTCTATCAAAGGTAATTTAAACCAAAAATCTGGATTTTTTTTTATTTTCCCGATTTTTGGCTTAATCTGGTCCTGCAACCAACAGTAGTCATTCCCTAAGAACATTTTAATGATAAACAATACCAGTAGTTATATGCCCACTGGTTTACAATATTTTTGGAAGTTTTTTTACACCCCTGTATTGCATGTGCCAGACAAGAAAGGGAATCCTACCCCTCCAGAAAAACAAGTTTAGTGGTTGTTGTTTGTTGCTGTTGATCATATGTATTGTTTGTTTATTGTTTTGTACAGTTTTTGTACTGTTCTGTTGCACCACTGTCCCAGGATTAGGGGGAGGGTTGGGCATCCGCTAACATGTTTAACCCCGCCACATTCTGAATGTGCCTGTCCCAAGTCAGGAGCCTGTAATTCAGTGGTTTTCGCTTGTTTCTGTGTATCATATTTGTTTTCTGTTCATTATTTTGTACATAAATTATGCTGTTAGTTTTCACGTTTCAATTGTTTTACATTTGTCATTTCGGGGCCTTTTATAGCTGACTATGGGGTATGGGTTTTGCTCATTGTTGAAGGCTGTACAGTGACCTATAGTTGTTAATTTCTGTGTCATTTGGTTTCTTGTGGAGAGTTGTCTCATTGGCAATTAAACCACATCTTCTTATTTTTATATTAAACCAATTTCAATTTTCAAAGTCTGTATTTGGGCTTAAATTGCACCATCAACCTGAAAACATGTCAATAAATAACCTTAGGTTAAGGGGGCATGCATAAATTTCAAAATACATGTCACTGAGTTGACCTGTAAAAGTACTGAGATCAATTGGGGCCAAAAATCAGAATTTTGGGTAGAGGCTGTAATGTTACAGCCCCACACAGTAAGGGTTAATTACAAATCAATAAAGCTCAAGGGCTCTTTACACAAAAAAACTTAAACTGAATGTTCATGACTGAAAAGTAAATTTTTTGGTGAAATTATTTGCTGATTTAAAAGTAAAATAGACCCACTTGCATTCTTTTATTCATACAAATTATATTTTTATCTTTATCCATAATAATTCATCTTTGAGAAATAATTTGCACAATAATTTTATGTAGTGTTGATCGAAAGTTGCAAACAAATAAGTAGCTTTGGGGCATTGAAAAATCAATTCACTGTTTATTACTACTAGAAGTTTCCAGTCCCTTCATGTACATGATGTATTAGTCCCAAAAAACAAAGTCGTTTATGTAAATGACCAAAGAGAGATAAACAGATATGTTGTCTTCAACGGCAAATAAAAAATAATCAAATTTATTAAAAAATGTTTGAAAAAGCAACCTTTATAAAGGTTTATAAAGTTATAATAATAACTCCCTTTGAAATTCAAGTCAATAAATATCATTTAAGGGCAAAAAAAGTATAATACAACCAATTAAAAAATTTGGACTTACAAACCCCCAAAAAAAGGAAACAGACCATTGGTGCAGAATGGATAAGGGGACGACCATTTGATATTCTGGGGGGGCCAGGAGGATTTGTTTTGGATCAGTTATTTATTTTTGTAAACTAAGAGGACAGATTATCTATTTTCTGCACTATTGAAGCAAGATTTTTCATTTTCATTAAATCAAGGGACTGATTATTCATTTTCACAACTATATTTATAATATTCGAAAACATACAATTTTTAAATTATTTGTTTATATTTTAAATAATTCATGTATAGTCAAGTCATTATGTACCATTTAATCAGAATTAATTATTATCCTCTGCAGAAATGAATCTTCTATATTCCCCATTGCATATACATGTATTACATACATACACAGTATTAAAGTTTGGTTGTAACTAAGGCTCTTTTAAAAGTATTGGCAAAAAAAAATTTTTTTGAAGGGTTTTTGAACCGCTGAAGGCCCAAGAAGCTATAGAACAAATGATGCAAATCATGCCTTCTGGGTGTTCCCCAGACCCTTTCTTAAACTGAAAATGCAAGTTCTGTTTTAATAATTTTATGACAATATTTTGGTCTCAAAACAAAATCACGTTATAGATTCAGTGTAAGACTTAAGTTTCTAGGAACAACATCAAAAGACAAATATGCATGATATTAAAAGCAAAAATGTTATTCACATAGTTTTTTTAAACTCATGATCAAGTTAATAATAAAATTACTAAATTACAAAATGAATGCAACACTAACAGAATACAGAAGGGCAATCAATGAACAAAAGACAAATAAATAAGAAACATTGAACCCCGAAAAAATCAGGGGCTACGTCTGAAGGAGAACAGAACTTGCTTCTTGCAAGGCACTCACGGTGAACACAATTTGATATGGAGACAAGCGTTTGGTTTTGAAATTTCCTACATGAGGCATTTGTCTCAATGTAGTTTAATATACGGCCCTGATTTAATAAAAGTGAGGTAAGAGTTCCTGAGACAATTAACCTCAAGTTAAATGAAACCAATTTTCTGACATTTCAAGTATATTTAAATAATATTTATACTTTTATTATTAAAAGATATGGGAAGTGTTTCCCGATTTTTTTTTGGAAAAAAGATGAATTTATGAAGAATCTGGTACCATCTCATACTTTCGATTAGACCTGCTGAGTTATTTATTTTCAATACATTGCAAGTCAGGTAATTTATTTTCAAACTACCACAGAACAAACCATTTATTTTTGTGATTATCAAGGCTGAGTTATTTATTTTCAAAATCCTCCTGGCCCCCCCCCCCCAGAATATCAAATGGTCGTTCCCTAAAGGGCAAACATGCCACTTTGAAGAACCAGCCTGTCCCATTCCCCTTTCATATATGACTTTAACATTCATGCATTTTGCCTTACATTCCCACACTTCTTATGTTATCACGTCACATAGAGAGGCAGATTCGATTATTTGATGATGTCATTTCAGCCAACTGACAAGGTTAAGTGGTGTGACTCATAGAAATAAAAAAGACTTCAAAATTGGTCTGGAGTTTTCCATGTTTCATTGTAAACTAATGTCATGATAATTACCTACGACTAAATGGATAATTTATTATATCAATTAATATGTTCCTGATGTCTGCTTTCAACCAAGCTTTCTGATCATTTAATCTTGCTATACATGAACGTGCCAATTCCCACTGACCAAGGAAAAGATTGTTGCAAAAAAACTTGAAAAGAAGTTTGATTGAATGTTCTGTTTCTTTTCCAACAGGAAAATGAAACTGAAGAGGATCTGCCATTGCTTCTACATTATTTCTATGTTGGTTTCCTGGTTCCTGGTCTAATAAGTGATTATGGGTGTTTACATCTGATAGTTTGTTTTTCTGCATGTTCGTCTACCATTTTGAGAGTCACATGAATACTTAACCTTTAACCCTATATTTATATCTAACGAATGAAATTCGAGAACAGAAATTCTTCTTCGCCAATCACAACAACGTTTACATATTGCGGGAACTTCAAACACGGGAAGCTGACAGCAATGCATCTTTGCGAACATAGCTGAGAAATGGTCCACAAATGTTGACACAGTCACCTCTCCTGAAAGGTTAATGATGATGACTTCTCAAAATATTAATTTACTTTCGTAAGGTTAACTTCAGAAAAATCGTGTCTGAACATGTTCCAAGATCACTAGTTCTATTTTGATCCAGAGTTTGACGGATGTTTACATTTTTAACAGTCAAACTTAAATCATAATGTGACATAAACGATAGATTCAAAACTTTCACACTGAAAAAAAAACATGAATGGTACTGAAGACTATGACTTTAAATCAAACATAAAGAAAGAAAAAATGACTAGGGATTTTAAATTTGATGTTGATTTATCAGGTGAAGACCATAATCGTTATTCCAGACATTCAGTAAAGCAGTAAGTTTAACAAACAAAATTATAGACCACAAGCTGGGACTATTATTATAATTATTATAATAGTCCCAGCCACAAGTCAGCCATACCCAATGTTGAGCAGACTTATCTAGTCGCAAAATGGGGATTTTTCTGGTATGGGTACCTAATATGAGAGCTTGAAAACAAAGATGGTGACCTTTCTCTAATAAGTATTTAATTTTAGAATACATTTAACTATTTAGTTTAAAAGAATTCTATCATTTTTGATACTCCAATACAGCCTTAAATTTTGAAGAAGCAGGCTGATCGAATTTATAAATAATTATAAATTATAATTCAGAACATCTAAAGGAAACAAGATCCTTCCATTCATCAGAAAAAATCTCAAAATAAACTCAATAACCATAAACATTGAGCATACCAAGCCCATTTCAGGCCAAAACTAGAATATTGCTGCATCGTCTGGGACCCTTACACAACAGAGAACTTTAACTCCATAGAAAAAGTTCAAAGACAAGCAGCAAAATACGTATGTTCTAAATACCAATACTGAAAGTGTAACAAACATGCTAAATACTATTCACTGGCCATCATTACAAGAAAGAAGACTTAAAAGCTGATTAACATGTTCCATAAAATCACCAATGTTCAACAAAATTGCCATACCATATACTAACATCCTAATTAAAAGCAAAGCAAACACCACTGACCAGGTCTAACCATGAACAAACATAACAACAAATTTGATGCAGCAAGGACAGTTACTCACGATAGTTACAAATTTTTTTTCTGCCAAACTATAAAAGATTGGAACAAATTACTTGAACCAATAGCCTGCAGCACCACTACTGAGTGATTCAAGGAGAAACTCACCAGAGAAATTCTCCTTGACACTTACCAATACCTACATGCATAATCTATATCTTTTTTTCTTATCTTTTACCCAAAAAAAAAAAAAAAAAAAAAATAGTACTGTAAATTCAGAAATTATTGCGTGCATTTATTATTGCGATTTTTCAAGAACGGACAAAAATGCGAGTTTTATTATTGCGATTTCGAAAAAAAGAAGTGCATACAGGTCTATATTTTAGTTATCAGAATGCGAGTTCTTATTATTGCGATACTCACCAAGTCGCATTATTCGCATTAATTAGAACCTCGCAATAATTTCTGAATTTACAGTACTTACAAGTATAAAAGTTGAAAGATAAATATGAAATTAGAAAAATAAATTTGTAATTATTAACAATACTGTTAAACCAGGCATGCACCAGAAAGTAATCATTAACCAGTTGATGTTTTTCTGTATATAAAGAAGAGAAGAAGATGGCAGGGTGCTCTCTGTAGTTTATAGATAACTTTTATAATTAATAAATAGAAAAGTTTACATCCAAGACAGTGAAAAAAAGACAACATTTGTTATTTATAATTATAATGTCAGCAGAAAACACACATAACTTAGTATTTGTTTTATGAAAGAAGAATTGCATTTTTAGAGTACTAACTTCATCAATACCAGCAACTGTAAAAATATAATGTTTAACAATACTATGTAAACAATGTCCTCTATGAAATGTGCATCCACGTTTTTAGTATACATGTCAGGTACAATTAAATCTATAAGGCACAAAATATATAGAGTAGACCTATTTTTGTAAAACTAATAATAGGTCAAATCAGGGCAACCCAAAAGTTTGTCTAAAAGGCCTCTTATATTTATATAGGACACTATTTATACAGTGTATGAACACTTATGCAGTGTAGAATTACTTGTTAAATTACTATATAAGCATAAACATTGTAGTGAAGACTATTTGAAACAAGAGATAGGGCATACCAAGGGGGGCAATAATATATTGTGTACAAGTCCAACAAAAACTGACATAGTCAAAAAAAATTAAATTACAAAAAAGACCAACAACAATAACTAAACATTACACAGAAACTAAAGATAGAATTACATTTTTTTCAAAGTAAAATACAAATTATAATTGTACAAATTATAACTACTTGTACACAGCATATACAAACTATAAAATAAAACTCTTTATTAATGATTTTCCTACCTACTTACCCATCCTGACAGATGGGCAGTGTAGAATTGGAAACAATATAATTATTTTATTTTTGGCCCTACTAGAATTTTGTTTCTTCTCCATTAACAGTTTTGCCATTTAATGTAATAAAACCTTTAAGTAAATATTTGTGTCTCACATTTGTTTGTAGATTGACCTTTGATGTTAATTATATTACAATTGCTCAAAATTAATCCCTACAGGGCTATGATTATCTTGTTGATAAAATTATGTAATCTAATTCACTGGAGTCCAAACAATGTGACACTTTATTTAAATCCAGGAAATAAAGGAATATCACTGAACTGCTTTGCCCTGTAGGAAAACACACAATTTAAATGTCAGCTTGTGAAACACACAAAATTAAGGATGAAAATTTAAAAATTTGTAGTGGTGATTCCCAACAGGTGACAAGGGCAGCTTGGGAAATATAAAGGAAATACATCAGTCATTTTGTGTAATGTAGGATTACCTATACAATATGATTTATTACAACATATAAAATGTTGTAATCAGTCTCAAAGTTATTACAGATTTCACAAATATGTTATAGTTGGACATTACATTGATTTCGCTTTTGACATTTTAAGGTAAGTTTATTATAATTTGCATTAAGAAAACAAACTTTTGTTTTATATTTGATATTGAATTATATTGCATTAAAAATTATCTGGGACTATTATACTGTTAGTATAAATAGTCCCAGAAAATATATTTACATCAGGATCATTATACAGGCCTAAATATATTAATTTGTCAAGAGTGAATATCAAATATAATCTTTAGACACTGTAAAATACATACTTTTATTCCAAACTCGGTTACAAAATGTTTTAAGTATTAAAAGGTCTGTTGTTTTGCCTTTTCTCATCGTTTTGACAAAAAAAATTGGTCAAACCTTAGCACCAACAGACAGCCTTCACGATAAACTTTTGAGTCCACAAGCCCGAAGCTCAATTTTTTGAAAATTTTAGTTGGATTCTGTTGGCTTGCAGAGAAGAATTTTACAAGCCTGAGAGCAATTTTACAAGCCAGGGCCATAGGACTTGTGGTTAAGCTTGAAGACTGAACAGATAATCATGTATAAGTCCAAGATTTAACCAGACATCAGAGTACTAAACCCTTCCACTTATTACCCTTGATGGGCAAAATGTACAAAAAAATAAGGACAGTAAAAGTCAATATGGTATAAGCAAATAATTGAAGTTATTACAGTACATAGACACTAAACAGATTGTGGAAGAAAATAGACAGAGGATTCTGACATGGAATGTTTATCATATATCCAGGCAATTTTTTTTTCAAATTAGATAACCTTAATTGATTTTTAATTTTCTTGTAAATAGATATAGAATAATTCCATGTAGCAGAAAGATGTACAATAAAGAAATATGATTATCATTCTGCAAAAAGAGTTTTCTTTTGTTTTTTTTAGCCAAAAGATGCCTTACAGTACACTGGATGACTTTGAACCATTATCAACGATTGGATGTGGATCATATGGGACTTGCAAGAAAATTAGACGAAAGAAAGATGGCAAGGTAAGTAAAAACATGCAAATATCACCCTAAGTCCAGGAATGTATGCATTATATCAGCCTAGTCTTAAACTGAATATTCTTCAGACAATGCAGACCAATTATTAGCTTGAAAAACCAGTCACTGACATTTTATATAATAGGCTAAACTTAGGCTTGTATTTAACATGTTAAATTCTTTTACTACTGAATTTCATAGAAATTATCCATTTAATGAACATCATTGTTTTTTTCCTATTTTGAAGAGTAAATTTTATTTATGTTTATACAGATTTATGCTTGGAAAGAGATGGACTATGGATCCATGACAGAATCAGAAAAACAAATGTTGGTGTCAGAGGTTAACCTTTTACGTGAACTAAGACACAAGCATATTGTAAGATACTATGATAGGATCATTGATCGTAGTAACACAACCATTTATATAATCATGGAATTCTGTGATGGTGGAGACCTGGCAACACTCATATCCAAATGCAGAAAAGATGGGTATGTGTTTCAGAATAATCAGTTAAAATTGATTATGTAAAAAGTATTTATTTTATGTATATGGATAGCTATGTGAGCAATATGTTAATAGGCAAGATAAATTAATTTTCAACATGCAGATGTATCTTAGAGTAAAACAAAAGTAAAACTATTTATTGGTGTAAGTCAATATTTACTGACATATAATATCTTTAACAGTTGCCTTCCCCATTGCAAATAAACCAAATATTGAATATTTAAAAATCATGTTGAATTTAAGTTTATATCGAGGAAAACTATAAAATGATATGCAGTTTTATTTTTTTATAATTTCTTGTGCATTAATGCATATTAAATAATTCTTGTAACAAGTTAACAACTTCATTGATTTTCATAGATAATGCATAATTGTCTCACCTGCCATGATATGTTACAAGTCTTAGGGGGGTAAACTAAAAAAGGTATCAAATCTACTCCTTATAAAGATAAGGAGATGTGGTATGATTGCAAATGAGACAATTATCCACCAAAGTTATTACAAAAAGTGGATGTAAGCAATTATAGGCAACCGTACGGCCTTCAACAATGAGAAAAACCCATACTATGGTCGGCTATAAAAGGATCCGACATGAAAAATATCAAACAATTCAATTGAGAAAACTAACAGCCTAATTCATAACAAAACAATGTATGAAAAACAAATATGACAGACATGATCTAACGACAACCACTGAACTACAGGCTTCGGACAGGCACATAAAGAATGTGATGGGGTTAAACATGTTTATATACATTTGTTTGAGATTTTGGTCTTTATGTTTGTTGACCTTCACATTACATGTAGTTGGATATTTGTTATAGTTCAGTGGCATAATAAAGTAACTTTAATTATATTTTCATGATTTGCTCAGTTTCATAGTTACTGTAAATAATAGGTCAAACTATATTTCGACTATGTAGCATCTTTGCATGCTGTACATGTCTAACAAGTATAAGAGAACTTTGACCTCATTTTCATGGTTGATCTGAATTTTTTCTGGATAGGTGGTGTTTTCAGTAAATGTAGATTATAAGTCAATTATACATGTATGTTGTCTATAAAATCATTGTAAGCTGTTTATATTTACACATTATATCTGACAGGAATCGCCTTACCTTGAACTCAGTTTCTGGGTTTATTGATAAATGTTGAGTTAAAAAAAATATGTTAAGTTTTCCTGATAAGTTTAGCTCACAGTTACTTTTGACAATCTTGCAACTGTATTAGATCAACAGAATCATTGTAAAGAGTACATACATGTAACTAGTAGAGTGGATTTTGGATTGCTTAGAATTAAGATGGTAATGGTTCATAAAACTCACCATAGATAGTGTACTGTCACATGTTGTGATGCATTAAATCAATACAAATACTAATATCTGCCATGGTGGCATACTGTAAACCAACTCATTTTTGCGACTTTCCCTAATAGAAAAAAACCCGAGAATATGTAAATCTTGGATCTTCTCTAAATACATCAAGTTAATTTGAAAATCATGAAGTCAAGTCGCAATGAAGTGAGCTAGAATGGGCTAAAGGCAAAAATAAGTTGGTTTACAGTATATGATCTGTCACCAGAGATTCACATTGCCACTGTATAAGTAACAGCAAGGATATAAGTGGAAAACCCTAAACCCAATATCGCACATTTGCAAGTTATAGAACTAATAGTAATATTCATAGTTGGTGTTATTATTATTTTGCTCTTCAGTCTTGCAAGCTTTGTACATGTATTTAAATGTTGATCTCATGAATTTTCAACTTGTCATTCTGTAATCATCAATCATGCAAGTGAGCAAATTCAGGTTTTACTGTCTTGTTAAACATGAACATGTATCATATTTCAAAATTCATTAATAAAATGACTTGACAAAGAAGTGCAAGATTTAAGCTTCTTTCAGTCACATTATGAACAGTGACCTATTGTTGAAAAGTAAATGTTATAACTTTTTTCAGGATATATATGGAAGAACAATTTGTATGGAAGATGCTCATTCAAATGACTCTAGCGCTGCAAGAATGTCATCGACGCAAAAATGGTAAAGCAGTGCTACATCGTGATTTGAAACCAGCCAATATATTTCTAGACATTGATAAAAATGTCAAGTTAGGAGATTTTGGACTTGCCAGAGTGCTACATCATGAGACAAGTTTTGCAAAAACATATGTTGGAACGCCATATTATATGTCGCCTGTAAGTTTGTGATCAATGAATAAGCACTCTCTTATTAAATTAGCAACTTCAAACTCAGTATCAAGGCTCATTTGAAATTGGACCATCTTAGAGGTCATGTTTTATATAATGTAGATGTCTTTCAAGTAAAAGGCCTTTTTTTTTGCAGATTACACTATTTGAAAATCAAATGATGTTCCAATCTAAAGAGTTGATGTCAATTGAAGCCCATTTAGAATAACTCCTATTTCAACAAATTTTATCAATGTAAAAATATATTGAGTAACATCAATTAAAATAAAACAAAGAATTATAAAGTTACAAAATGCCCGTCATTTGACGGGATTATCAACAGGTTTAGAAATTTTTGCATGCATTTGTACATGCGATTGTTAAACAATGTACAAAAATGTGAGGTTAATTATTGCATTTTCATGAAAATGTGCATATTAATAATGCTATCTTGATTTAAGCTTAAGTTTTAATTTTGCAAAGCCTATTGTTTCTTAATTTACAATACCAAAAGGCAGACGACTTTACAAGACAAACATGAACATGTGCACTCCATAGTCATGATAATAGTTGTTGTATTTTGATACAATATAATATTTAAGAAATAATTCATGGGGGCTTGAATATATCATGATTTTACCACGGGTTGGCCCTTAATGACAAATATTTTACCCTGAGCGATAGCGAGGGGTAAAATATCGGCATAAAGGGACAACCCGTGGTAAAATCACGATATATTCAAGCCCCCATGAACTATTTGGATTCTAATAGGACAAATACGGCAATTGTTTTGGATCGAAGCGCTCTAGATGAAGGCATTATTTGCCGTTCCCATAAATAAACGCACTATTAAATTGACGTAAAAGACCGGAGCAAACTGAATAAATGACATGCTTAAACTATTTACAATAACATATTTAGATAGGTTTGGATGAATCTAAATGATAATTGTACTTATATGTCTTATATGTATACAAAAAAAGGCTTATGTATAACACATTTTTGCATCGTTTGTTTACGTTTCCTTGTTGTGATGATTATTGGTTTCACAAGGGTGTATTTTCCCGTAAAATGCTTATATTCTTACGTCGTCGTTCTATGACGTCGGGTAGCTCATTCATAAAAAAACATATGACGCAGGAGTACGATTGGAACAGCCCAAACAATATATTCATATTTTACCACGGGTGTGTACTCAAAGTGTTTGAAGAACGTCATGTTAGAATTGTAAATATAATATCTATAGTTGTAAATAAAACTCTAGATTGAGCATGAATTGATATAATACACCATAATTTGTTGTTGTTGACAGGAACTTGTGAATAACATGTCATATAACGAGAAGTCTGATATATGGTCGATGGGTTGTATGTTGTATGAGCTGTGTTCATTACATCCTCCATTTACTGCTAGTAACCAATCAGAACTCAACAAAAAGATTTGTATGGGAGAGTTTAACAGAATTCCAATCAGATATTCAAGTGATCTCAATGAAGTTATAGCCAAACTACTTAGAGTTGAGGTATAACTATTATTAAACATTTAAAAATGTGGTTCACCTTTACCCATGAAATCTATGAAAATGGATATCCCATGAATAATTATGAACATGATGAATCCAAAATACTTTATTCAGGTTTCAGACAGGGTTTGTTAGACTTTATTCCCTTCATTACAAATGTGTTCCAGTGTGCAACCCTTTAAATTTTGGTTTTTGAAAAATAATCTTAATTGACTTGGATTGTCACTTTTCCTGTCGAAGGTCATGTTTTTTTTCAGCAACTGCAGCTTCCTCCACCAATAAAAACTGACTGCCATGTAATAGCCAATAATGCCCAGAGTGGCATTAAACACCAAAAATCAATAACTGTCCAAACTATGGACTTAATGTTATATAAACTATTTGTATATAAAATACTGATACACTTTTGAAAACAATTTTATCACAAAGATATTGAAAAACGAGTTACTATCCTCTGAAATATTTTTTGTATTCAATGTATAGTTACAGTAACTGCTTATCCCTTTGTCAGTCATTTATAAAATGAATTTAAATTCTTTATATTCAATAGGTTCATAGAAGACCAGGTATTGAAGGTATTTTACGTGATCCACGAATACAAAGACAACAACAGTTATTAGAAAGACAACTATCATCAAGTAGGGAATCAGAATCATCAAAAAGTTCTGAGGATATAGGTGTAAGAGAAAAAAGAATAGATGCCAAAGAGAAAGAACTTGAGAGTAAGACAAATTACTGTTAGGAAAAATAAAAAAGAGGGCTGATTTATGATTCATATATATATATATATAGTTCAGTGCAGACAGGTATCTGTTTTATTCAGGACTTAGAATTTTAAAAAGGTTTGTTTATTGTTTTATCGATACACAACGCTTCTTGAAACTTAATTGCACTTGGCAGCAATAGAAATATTTGGTGATAAGTTATTAGCGTTTGCATAATGTTTTAACTGTTTCATCTGTCAGCTCTGGTTAAGCTTTTGGTTAAAGGTCATGTTTAAAAAAGTTTGATATGAATTATACAAATTATATGTTAACAGGATGGTGTGACCAGCAACTCATGGTTCAGTGATAAAGTTAAGCTCATGGTTAAAACTTATGTTACAGGTATTAATGTGGTATTCTAACATGAGGTCCTTCAAATGCTTTGAGTCCATACCAGTGGTAAAATAAGAATATACTGTATGTCAGCTGATCAGCAACTTCATAATTTGTTTTGGCTGTTATATGTAATTTTTTAATCATACATTCAAAGTTATTCCATGAATACATTTCTTATATTCCTTATTTTCAGGCAGAGAAAAAGAAATTACAAGAAAAGAAATAGAGTTAGAAGAAAAATTAAAAAAGTAACTATGCAGATAATTTTTGAAAATAGCTAATTTAGGTTCCACTTTTGTAGTGTCAAATAATAATTCTCCATGGAAATATGTTCATTCAGTGGCCATGTCTAATGTGTTAAGTGAACACTGCTGTTTATATACTCCCTGCACAAATTTCAAGGGTAGCATACTGTAAATTCAGAAATTATTGCGTGCATTTATTATTGCGATTTTGTCATTTTAGACTAAAATGCGATTTTAATGTTTGCGATATTGAGAAAAATCCTGTTTAATTCATATAAAAAAATTTCAAAATGCGAGTTTAAATTATTGCGATTATAACCCTGTCGCATTTTTCGCAATAATAAAAACATCGCAATAATTTCTGAATTTACAGTACATTGGATTCTTTCTTTGTTCATCTGTCCACTCTTTTGTCTGTTAAAAACAACCACATGGATAAAAGGGATTTCTAGAAGTACTTTATGACTCTACTACATTACTACCTACACTGAAATGCAGGTTAACTTTTGATTTTCAACATCAGCCACAATAATAGTTTTACAAGTATGCCTTTTGAATTGTCTATAAATGTGAAAATGGGTTCTTAGATGATAAATTATGTTTAGGACCTTATAATTTTGCAACAAACCTACCTATCATGAAATTCATGTCATTTTCTGTTTCCTTTGTTGCAGCAATAACCAATTTAGATTTGTGACTCTTTAATTGTAGCAAAATTATAAAAGAATAGATTCTGGATGATAAGCAAGTTTGTTTGAGCTAAGATCTTATTACTGTTTATTGACCAGTTTAGTGCATTATGTATCAAACTGCCCCTTTATTAATAAAAGCAAAACTGGTCCATTACAGACTAACAGGGCATTAATACAGGGCCATTATGAATAAACAGGGCTATTATGAATAAACAGGGCCATTATGAAAAAACAGGGCCATTATGAATAATCATGGCTATTACGGATTTTTAGTTATCAGTTCAAATACATTTCTGGGGAAAAGAAACATAAGAAATCGAAAGTTCCCAAAAATCTTGACTTATCTTTATTGACCCAGTTGTCAAGTTAATAATTACATAATACATTCCATGATGTCTATCAATTTAATTAATTTTGAGATTTAAAATCCAGAATGAAATCTTGTATTTTGTATGCCATAAATTGCTTTGAATAGGACAACAATAAGACTATATTTACATTTACATGTTATTCCATCACATCACTTTAAAAGTTTCTTTTTGATATTGCATTTGTTATTATTATATATATACAATTTCTCCACAAAAAATTTGGCTTGGTTAAACATTACTACACATTGACGGTTTGGTTAATAAAAGTCTTAAGAAATGGGGGTTTTCAAATTGACCGTTATTTGTCCTCTGTCAGTAATAATGGCCTCAGAGGCTGTATTGTCCCTCGGCACAGACCTTGGACATAATGAGGCAATTATGAAAACACCCATCAATACTATAGTAATGTTTCTTTCAACAATGAAATGTAGTTAAAGTTTTATTGTGACTATTATCACATGTATCATTCCAGAGTTATGTCCCATGTTTTGTGTCCAGATTTGTCTTAAAGTTGAAAGCAATTTTGATCTTTGATAGTAGTAGGTGATGTTAAAAGATAGAGTTGATATTAGGACTTAAAACAGAACTATTCTTTGAAAATACAAGCAATTAGCTCTCTTAGGCAATGTCTTGTTCATAATATTTGATTTGATACAAGACTTAATACATTTGAACATTTACTGATTGAAACATGCATGAATACATAGTTTATATATAAAAGCAATTAGATTATATATATTTCGTTTTATCAACTATTAAAAATTGTTTAAAATTAAGGCCAAAAATGTTTTAATACTGTTTTGTTATCATTTTTTTATAGATTAGACCAACTGATGAAAGAATATAAAAGAAAGGGCAGTTGTATAGATGTGAATTCTGCAGGGGACGCAGGTAGGAAATCTGCCCCTCCTGCTCCACTTTCCCCTATTGTCCCACTCCTCAAAGTTCCCCCATATCTCATTAGACGTAATTCACCATTCAGATCACCACTGGATAAACTAGACTTTAATAGAGAGGACTATTAGTTTTTGTGCTGTGGCTTTATTTGTTGCTTTGTATGTTGATTTCTTACTTAGGACTGTTTCATTTTAAGGGAGTCGATACAGTTTCAGAGCAGATGATAGTCTGATAAATATCTAATGTCCCATTGTTTCAAAATTAGTTTGATGATTATGTTAAGTAACTGAACCAATCTAGGAAAATTAAAATAAAAGAATAGAACATAATTCAAAGTTATCCATAAAAATGGTACAGAAAAATCTATTGCAAATTTTAAATGAAACAAAAAATTAATAATTTATTTCGTCAGAGAAGTTGCCTATTTTCTCAATTTCCAATGGTGGGAGGGAAAATATGAATTTTACAAATGTAACATAATTTTCCCCAAAATGTAAGATGACAATTTGGGAGCTACATTTTTACGAAACTTTTAAGAAACTTTTTTGATTCCATCTAAAATGAGTATGATAAAGTTTGAAGTTTTTATTTCAAAATGTAGTGTCACAGCTATTTCATATATATTGAAAAGTACAGAAAAGTCAGAAATTTGATCACTGTAATCTATTTTCTATTCTGTGATTTATCCAAGACTATTGCTTTACAAAATATCTCAGAATCATAAAAATTACAATACAATGTGAAACTGTACCGACTCCCCATTAACATAATAGGTTACCCCGGCATGGAACTCAGGAACTCAACAATTAAAGCAAAATTGTATTATTTCTCTTGCTTTTTTGTCCCCTGCACAACACAGTGCCAGGGACATAGTAGAATGTTCATCAAAAAGTTTACTAAAAGAACATAAAAAAAATCTTGTTTTTGGAGTTGAAATATCAGCATCATATGGGAACATTAGGATGCTATTCTTTTATTGTTTGAGTTTTAACTACCTTTATACCTGATTTTTGAGCACCATCCATGGGTTTCCTGTATGAACAGTCCTTAAGTAATTGTTTTTGTATATCTGCTATCTTATTGCTTAATTTACTGCATTGTATATCTTCTGCTATCATAACTTTGCTTTTGTATGATATTTACCTAACTTGTAATTTGTTGCTTTTTTGTGCCATTTGTTTTTTGTTTGCTTTATTAAAAGTAATCTTTATACAATCATAAAAAAACTGAACTCCTAGGATAATCGAGTTTCCTTATATTTACATATTTAGTCCAGCCTGTTTCTAGAGAAGAAAAAATGTGAATTTTTTTTTAAAGATGAAATGAACCGAAACTATTATATGCAGCATATAGTGTTTTAGAAGTTTGTCACTTTTGTTATTGTTACTCTTACATTTATCATCATACACTTTATATAGCTGCCAAAAATGAAGCTGTACCATAGTATGGGTTTGTCATCATTGTCTAGATTTTATTTGGAGACAAATTTTTAATTTCGTATGATTGGTTGCATTTTAAAGAACAAAAAATAATGCTGCATCATAATCTTTATGCAGTATTGGATGAAATAGCAGTTGACGATTGAGGACTTTCAATGAATGGTGGGAGGGCATTCCCAAATGCAAATAATATCAAAATATATTGCAATTTCCAATACAATCAATTCAGATAAGCAATTCCAAAAATGTTGGTTTAGATATGTGGATTTAAACTGAAAAATATGTATAAAACTAAATCTGAGGAGAAAACTTTCATTTTTTCTGACTACTGGTAATATTGATGTCTTCAATTATGCAATGAATGAGATTCAAGAGTTGCTACCATAGGCAGATTGCATTGCATATGTAATGCTGTGGCAGAAAATTATATGCTTTATTTCTGGTCATTTTGTATAACTTTAGTATGCATTATTTCTACTCCTTTTATACTTTTACTACGCATTATTATTTCTAATTTTGTGTAACATTCTACACATTATCTGTGTTCAGCCATTTTGTATTCATTGTTGTGTAATTGTATTGCTTAAGTACCCATAGTGCTTTCATGTATTATAACTAATACACATTTGAATTTGTAACTTTAATAATGTGCCTTATTAATCCCACATAACAGTGAAGTCATCATCATTTGTGTCATTATGTATTGTCTGGCATCATGTATTGTCTGTTTGCTACATACCAAAATGGAAAAGCCTTTGTTTATGATTGAAGTTGATGCTGCTTCAAACACAAATCAATATAAACATTTAAATCCTTGCGTTAATCGATATAGATAAAGGCCAAATGTTTGGTATGTGCAATGTTTGTTTTTCATGTCATTTATCATATGATCATGTGCAAAAGTTATGCATCAGTCTTTTTTAAAATCTGGCAAATTTGAAATGATTGTTAAAGGGAGATAACTCATTTTCTTTTTAAAATGGAGGTTTATATTATCTCTACATTTATGTCAAAACTCTTGGCATTTAAAAAAACTCTTATTGGAATTCCATAAGCAGTAAAATCTTATCAATAAATCATATGTTAATTTTACTGTTTATCTAGCAAATAGTGCTGGAAAAAAGAATAAGGGAATTACATTTAAAAAAAAAATATATTATAATATTACTCCTGTTGTTTGATCTTTTTTTTTTGTACACTAGAATTGCTTATATTCTTTCTGAGATAGAATAAAATGGTCGGATTTTAAAAATGACTGATACTTGATTTGATCTCACCATATGTGTTCTTTTTACTTATGTCTTTGTGCCATTGTGTAATTAATATTTAACCCTGATTAATATGTACATGTAGTGATATGTAGTGTTTGCTATTAATGAGGATATTGATAAAAAATGTGTACGGTTTACTAGGAAATTGTTTACAAAAGAGGTGTTCTTTTAATTCAGTGAATTCATATAGATACACAATATATAAATGGGGAAAGTTATTTGCATAATATTTATACACTCTTTTCACAATTTATACTTAGTAAACTGTATACCTTTTTGCCCTGCTTGCCAATTGTATTAGACCAGTTTGCAGACTGAACTTTATAGATGCACAATTTGATACAGCATATGTACAACTAAATGTGTGGAATTTCATTCTAATATGGATGGGAATGTTACACATCTTAATTTCTTAATAGCAATGAATACATACTTGTATGCATGCTGTGGGAATGTTTACCGTGATACCATTATATACATGGCTTTGTACATAAGGGAAAGTTAAAATAAAAAAAGGAAACTGATTGAGTCTTATCAATGCATGACTTTTGATAAATATACAAACAAAGTACACACTGTCCTTTATCATGGTGGCATTAACTATTTGCAAATAACCTCAATATCTTATCCCCAGTTTCTACAAAGATGACAAAAATTTGTAAAGCTGTATTTCATAATGAGACCTTATTAGCCAGTAATTGTCACCTAACCCAGGCTTCATTTTCATGTCCAAGTTGTCAGGATGAGGTCTACTACTAAGTAACTATACAATATATCAACAATTGGCCTGGTTAAGTTTTCCGGATGAGGTTTTTTTTCAGTTGCTATAGAGAATAGGTCAACAATATTTGATGTGGCCTGGTTTAAAGGACTACTGTGGATTCATTTATTTTCGTGGGTACCAATTTTCGTGGATTGAGAAAAACTTGCATATTCGTGGATATTTAATTTCGTGGTTTTGGCAAAGTCTGCATACATTCCTTTAGAAAATTTGTAATTCGTTGAACATTTAAATTCGTGGTTCCACTATACCAACGAAATCCACGAAAATTGGTATCCAACGAATATTAATGAATCCACAGTATATGAGTTTTGACATCTTTCCAAGTTTTGTGTAAGTTTTTTTAATTAGGCATTAAGCTTCTAGAAATTAAGATAAATCTTGAGAAGACAAATGTCAAAGGATACCTCAAAAGTCCATGTTTAATGACAACTTAAGAGATAGACTACCTAAACATCTAGATACCCCCTACTACACTCCTTTAAAGTGTGTCAACAAGGATTTGAAAAGGGCAGGATGCTTATCTAAGAGTAGCACTTAACCATTTTGGGAAATCTTATTTCATTATAATTTTTGTCTCGTCTGCGACAAAAGTTGCAGTATGCATGACATAGGGATTAGTATCCGGCGGCGGCATAAACTATTTGTGTAAAGCTGTATATTTCAGAAGGTAGAAGACCTGTTAAAGTTTCTGTCTGTCATATATCTATTGTCCTTGACCTCATTTTCATGTTTCAGCTACTGCTTGAAAAAAATAATAGTTTTTGTCATGCGAATTTCTCACTTTTTATGAGTAATAGGATAATTATATTTGGTAGGGTATATATGTTCCTTGCAATGTCTACATGTCCCTCAGACAGAGTTCACCTGACCTTGACCTCATTATATGGATCAGTGATCAAGGTTAAAGTTATGTGATTAGGTCTGTTTCTCAGATACTATAAGCAGATGGTCAACTAAATGTGGAGTATGGAATGATTGTAAGGGGTACTGGCAGGTTTCATCTGACCGTGACCTCATTTTCATGGTTCGTTAGTCAATAATAAGTTTTTGTGTTCTGGTTTGTTTTTCCATTACCATAAGCAATAGGTCAACTATATTTGGTGTATGGAATAACTGTAAGGTGAACATGTTTCTCTGATAGGATTTATCTGACCTTGACCTCATTGTCATGGATCTTTAAAAATGTTAAGTTTATGTGATACTTATAGTGAAACTCTTATTTTTAAGACTTCCACCATAAAATCAATGGTCAGTTAAACAGGCGAGACATTACAGGGTGAGGACTCTTGTGTTAGAATTATAAATATTATGGGTGGTTGGGGTCTAAAAAGGTGCATCCCATGCCCCATGTTCAAAGGTGCATCTTCCTTCATAAAACTTTTGATTTGATGCAAATCTGACATTAGTGATGACCACCACTGCTAAACAGTTATACAAATTCCTATGAGACAAAAAATGGTAAACTGCATTGTTCACTGATTTAATCCATTTTAATCAAATGGTCTTTAAAAAAAGAGATAGTGAAGGTGTTATACTGTAAGTACTTATATTGCTGTAAGAATAGCTAAGCTATTTGGTTTATCATTTAAATTGCCTGTCCAGATCTCCACAGCTAATCACTTCAACAATATACAATTTAGGTATGTAATAAGGTATATTGATTAGTCTCTTGTTGTTTACTAGATTGTTAATAACATATGTTTAATGACATTACAAAATTGCATCTTTGAAAGAAAGCTATGATTTCTCTTAACATAAGTTAAACTTGCTAAAAAGACTTGCCTTCTGTTGTTGATCCTAAATAGAAACCTGACAAAATGACATGCATGTTCACTATTGTAAATACAAATACTATGTAAAATAGAGATAAAACATCCATATTCTTTGAAAACCATATATGTATAATGTTCCAGTTGAACAAAAGGTTATCATTTTACATACAAAATTTTTGGTAAAATTATATAAATGTACTTTGTAGTTGCAGATTTGTCAATAGACAATCCAGTTTCCTCATGCCTATCCAAAGGAAAGAAAGATCCTGATACACCAAAGAAAAAGGTTTCATTTGATATGTATGGCAAGGAAAATTTACGTCAACGAGATCAGAGAGTTTCAGAGCTTTTATCTAAATATAGTGAACCTGAAACATATGACAGCCTTTATACTCAGGAACTTGTCAAACGACATGAACTCAAAGACAGATTATTCAAAGCAAAATTAAAAGCCTTAGAAATAAGAGGACTTGATTATGATGTTCGACCGAAATCTAAAAACCTATTGCATTTTAGATAGCTGTGATATCTAATTTATTTATCATTTATTTATTATGGAAGGTTGTTTCAAAGATGTTGTTGTTTACTAGGGCTTAAAATTTTTAGTGGTATTTACATATTTTTATAATTACAAAAAGTACATGATGTATGATTGTATGGTTTGCCACTGTCACATCTTATATTTGGAAACATTTTTTTCCATCATAACTTTTTGTGACAGATTCTACTGAGATTTCAGCACAATATTGCAAGATTTAAAGTTGGGAAGATATAAGGGTTATTCTTTTACTTTTGAAACAAAAACAAAGAGATTTTAAAAGTTAAAACAAAATTCAATGTACTGTATGCAATTTTTGGTGTTAAGAAAAGTAATGGTTAAATTTTTGGCTAATCTGATCCTGAAATTTCATGGAAGTTAAACGTATTGTATGAAACAAGTAGTGATAAACACATTTAATCTGATTTAAGGTTTACTTGTTAAACTAATAGCACATTGTGCTATTTTATTTTATATGAACATGTTATGCTGAGAATTTTATACTTTTTTTTTATCAATATCCGTCCTTTTATATTTTTGTCACATTTACAGCATTAAACCAAATGCAACAATCCCAACATTTTCAGGAATGTATACATTATCATATTTTAAATAAGAAATAAATAAAAATATCTTTAAACTATCTTATTTTATCCTCATAAAGTTTTATTTACATTTTCAATGAAATGACATTTATATTTTGTTCTTAAACCCTACTTATTAAATCATAAAATTTGAGCATAATTTATGCTCAAGTTTTCATAATTTTTAAAAATCTTGAATCACAATCCTAGCTTTTTTCTTATTGAGAGTCTACTGGTTATCAATACATAAGAAATTGATTATTAAATAAATCATAGAAATATATATAACTTGTGAACATTATTTGACTCAAACTCATATTTTTAAAGCCAATTAAACATGTTAAATAAAGAATAATGTCATTTATAGGTCAACACATATTTTTTATAAAATTAAATTTAATTGATTACATTCAAGCAAAGAAAAACTTATTATAAAAATGTCGGCTGGTTAAAATATAACAAATTTAGAAAAAAAAATTTTGTTTGTTTTTGTGTGGTTGTGGAATATTGCCATAAACTAGGGTAGGTTTCAATGCAAGTTTTATGTTTGTTGACTGTCTTGTTACAACTTTTAGTGCTAGATTGAATAACACATACATGTACAATGAACAGTTGGACAGGGTGACACATTTTGTTACATTATTTTTTTTTTTATATACAAATATTTTTACAGATTTTTAGCAAACAAAAGTGATAATAAACTGATTTTTTTTCACACTTGTCTTTCATTTCTACGGCATGGAAATTGATATGAGCTATTTGAGTACACAGGGTGTCCACATCCATGTGAAACTATGTGTGTTACTATTGCTCCCATGCCTCATTAACCACAAGAAATAGGATCTTTGCATGCTTACACTACTTACAATTAAGTTGTTTTCAATACAAAAAGAAGGCCAACATGACCTATTTCTTACATCTGAGGGACACCAGTTTCAACAATCTTGATTAAATGAGGATTTTTCACATCTCAAATTTTATAGTTTTTGGATAATCATGTATATGGAGATGATTCATAGAGAAGACCAGCATCCAGTTAAATGTATGCATATCTCAACTGATTTGTATGCTTTACTGTATTTTCTTACAATTTACATTCCTATCTTTGGTGTTGTTTGATGTGTTACATCTAAATTATTTATGAATATGATACCAGCAACCATACAAATTAATTTGACCTTCTTTTCATGCTTTATTGGCTTTTTCAAGTCTACATTGATAGTCTTATCTCAGGTACTGAAGGTTTTAGATGATATCAATTTTGTAAGCAGGTTCACTTTAATTATGTAAATATAACCTTATTATTAACTCACATGGTCTGAAAGGCTATGTATGCTTTTGGCATCACTTGGCATCTGTCGTCTTTGTCCATCTGTCTTCATAAACTTTACAAAAAATCCTCTCCTCTGAAACTACCATGCCAAATGTTAGCAAACTTTACCTGAATGTTCCTTAGGAAATCTAGTTTAAAAAAATGTATCTTGGGATTTGATCCATCAACAAACATGGCCACTGCTGCTTAAAATAGAACAGGGGTGTAATGCAGTTTTTGGCTTATATCTTAAAGTGAAGCAGTAAGTGCAAACTGACATTTGATAAACATGATAAGCAAGTCAAGGTCTATCTCCTATGGAATTTTCAGATAAATCTACCATCCACTTTAGAGTTATTGGCCCTGCAATGTCAATTTTTTGCAAATTTCAGGGTTTTGGGCTTATATCTCAATAACAAATAACTAGAACAGCAAAACAGCAGGTAAAGGTGAATTTTCTATGTAATTTTGAAAAATCGGATATCCCATTTTGGAGTTATTGCCCCTGAAATGTAGTTTTTAGCTCACATGATCATAAGGCTACTTGAGCTATTGCCATCACCTAGTGTCCATTGTCATCGTCGTTTTCTTTTTCAAAGATCTTCTCTGAAACTTCTGAACCAAGCTTTTGGTTATAATCTTTAAATCTTTTAACAGATAGAGAGAAATTGTAAAAGTCACAACATGACAGAAATCATCATTTGACCCCTTATAGGAGTTATTGCTTTTGAATGATGAATTTAACCTTTTTTTTGGAAGACACTATAGTAGATATAGAGAATCTTTCGATAGCAAAAAGGTTCCTCAAAATAAGATCTACAAATTATTCAAATAGACAAAATTGTCAATTGACCCCCTTATAGGATTTATTGCCCTAGAAAGATGATTTTTACCAATGTTTTTCCAGAAATGAAAATAGATAAAAGAGAAATTGGAAAAAAGTAATAATGTTCAGCAAAATAGATCTACAAATAAATCATCATGGTTGAAGCAGAGACATATATACATATATGTCTCTGGTTGAAGTTATCAGTTAACTTCTTAGAGGAATAATTGCCCTTGAAAGGTTATTTTACCATTTTTTCCTTTTTGCAGAAACTATAATAGAAACAATAAACTTAAAAAATATTCAGCACAATAAGATCTACAAATATCAGCGTGACTGAAATTGTAAACTTTTACTATATGATCTGTTTTCCTTGAGTGATGATTATTACCGATTTTTTAACTCGCATGAACCTTCATAGCTTTTGCCATCACTTTGCATCTTTCGTCAGTTTGTAATGTTAAGAGTTCGATTTGGAATTTTTGGAGTTCTGCATAAAACCCTATGGGAAAGCACATTGGTAGAACTTTCTTAATTTTATTTGGAACCCAATGACATTATATAGTGTTGTAACCTAAAATGTGAACATTTAATTATTTAAAAATTTGGTCAACGTTGCGATGGAAACGGTAAAAAGATGAAATTTAAAAAAAAAAAATGTGTTTCAACTAAATTAAAACTCGGAAATGTGATCTATCATGCATATATGTGCAGTAATCAAAAATTCGGTTGGCATTTGCAATTGCTTGCAATTGTCATTCTGTGTTTCCTTTGTCGTCTCTCTTGCACCTCAAAATCTTCAGGGCAGTTCTCAATAAAACACGCGTCAGATGGCAAACTTTTACTGTATGTTAGGATTATTTGTTTAGGTATGCTTATATGTTTTATTTGTGCATGGCGGTCTGTAAGGACCCACACAATGATTTGGGTTTATAGATTCTCATGGGAAAGAAACTTTCCTATGTTTTATTTTACACGTAATAACAATATCTTTAAGACAAGTATTGAGTATGTAGAAAATGATATATAATACCTTTGTAAATGAGTTGAGGGTAAGACCGTGTCAAGAATTACGTCATTCGTAAAATACTATAGTGAAAGTAAACAATGGGAACCAAAGTTTAATGGCATTGCACGAATTGACTGAATTGTGATCCCTAGATCACGGAAGTTCGTGATATGACCAAAATAGCTTCACATTTAATTTCAAATTTCCGTCACTAAAAAAACTTTATTCTTTTGTTGTCGGATTTATTCTGTATAATACAGATTGTATTAAGCTATAGAATAACACAATATAAATGAAAGGATTTATTTCTTACGCGAATTGACTTTGTTAAATTTTGTTATTCTGACAAGACCTACTTCGCGACATTCAATCCTTTAATCAATTAATTTGATCCACATTATGTTTATTTTAGTATATACATATAGGCTAGTAGTTCTATTAGCATAAACATAAGGACCGACTAGTTCTTGCCCTCTTTAGTTGGAATATGAATAAAAAGAAATGAGGAAATACGCCAATGAGACAGCCATCCAACGATACAAGTTTCCAAACACATAAGTCATACGTTATTTTACGCTGTTTTGTAACGCTAAATATAACTCACCAATTTGGGGACTGTCACTAGTGGTGACATAAGTTTTGGACCAAAGAAAGTTTAAGAGCTCTCAAAACCCCTTTAGGTCCAATATCACAGCATCGTACATATTAACAGGATCAAGTAACAACGAATTGTTACCACCTTTTTTAATCGAATGGCAAGGTCACTAACAACTCAGTGGACACAAAAACACTTTCTAAATTTTAATTTGGAGTCCATTGGCTCAGTTCCTTGAAAGAGACATGTCTCTCACGTTCGACTACTTTATTGTTTTTCACTCAGCGAATCCAAATTTAAAAAAACGATAAAGAACATTAATTGTTGTCTCGCCTGCGACGGCGACGGCGGCGGCGGCGGAAACCATTTGTATGAAGCTTTATATTTCAGAGTGTAGAATACCTAGATGCTTCATACCTTGTAAACAGATCCATGTTACGAAGTTTTCGTCTGTCTTATGTCCAATGTCTTTGGTCTCATGGTTCAGCGACTGCTTAAAAAATGTAGAGGTTTTTCATGTAAATTTCTCACTTATGAGTAATATGATAACTATAATTGGTATATGTGTTCGTTGCAACGGCTATATGCCCGTCAGGCAGGGTTCATCTGACCTTGATCTCATTTCATGGTTCAGTGATCAAGGTTAAATATTTTTTTTTTGCGTTTTTCAATTAAAAAAAAACCTATGAGATAACCTGCGATTTTTATCCTTCTAGCCATGTAAAAAATATTGGTTCAAGGGTCGATTTTTGCAATAAAAAGAAAAGTTAACTCGCTTTAATTAAGGACAATTTATATCTGAACTTAAACGCTTGATTTATTCTAATCACTTTCCGTTTGTCCTTGTAAAATAATTTTAAAAAAAGATGGTATGAAAAATACAAATTCGTCTTAATTGATAAATAATAATTAAAAAAAGGTTGACTGGGACATCAAAATATGGTCTATCCCCTCGGCCTCACCCATCTGTAAAACACATGCTAAGTAGGGATAAACGTGAGCAACGTCTTGTCAGGATGGGGACTTTAAATCCGATGCCTCGTGTAGAAAGTGTGACACGCTCTCTCTGCACGCGAAAGAATCTTTGCAACAACTCTGATGGGTCCGCAGGTGGCCTGTCTGCAAGACTAAATTTCTGGCCCTATCAAACATATCCTCATTTTCTAGTGGCAGTCGAAATCTCGCTCTTCCCCAGAGTCGACCATCTTTCGGAACCTTCCTTTTGCATTTACTGTATATTTGTTCTCGTCGCGAATTGGCACGAACTATTTCTTACTGGGTGGTAAGTTAATAACAATAAATTGAGATTATATCCCTATTATTGAACAAGACATGTTTAAATAGATACCAGGCTTAACATTGTGTACGCCAGACGCGCGTTTCATCTACAAAAGATTCATCAGTGAGGCTCGAATAAAAAAAGGCCAAATAACGTACGAATTTGAAGAGCATGGAAGACCCAAAATTCCGAAAGGTTTTGCAAATACAGCTAAGGTTATCTATCCATGGGAGATTTTTTTTTAGTATTTCGTAAAATTAAAAGTATTGTAAACACTAAACGTTTATTATCATTCCCCGAATTTAGCAAACTTTTGTTACTGAAGTGTTAAAATATAGAACAGTCAGTTGGCGGCAAAATAATTACTACCCCTAAAAATTAAGATGATAATTTGGGCTTAACTTGTATATAACCAGGGGCTTTAAACAATCTGACTTAACTCTTTACAAAATTAAATTTTACGTAATAATTGAGTGGGCGAAATATATATATATCATACAATACATGTATAAATAAATCAAAATATATATGTAAAAATAACTAAAAACATTGTCCATTTCGTTTTTATTTATATCGAGAATTCAGATCATCTAACGATCTGTTTTGATCAAATATTGTGTAATGGATGTTGGATTCGGCTTCATATTAGTGTTTGCCTTGCTTCTCCAGACTGTGAATGCCGAACTGAAAAAATCTTCATTGACAAAGCTAGAAGATGTATTAGAATCAGTATTTTTTGGCAGAAGGAAACTTTCAGAATTTCGGAAACTGAATCCATTAACAACCAAAGGTATAAATTGGATAATAATTATGATGATTAATTGTATTTTTATAAATATTGTTATTATAATTATTCATTTTTTCAGGATGCTGATTTTTATTACTTTATCTCAATTTGTAAATTAAAGTTTTTGACAATTAGTTTAACTAAAAATTAATATGATCAAACCGTTCAGTTAATATTTTTTTTTCATTTTATTAATGAGATCTTTCAGAATTTTTAAAGGTAAAGTGTAAACGAAGTTCATTTTCCAGTAAATGAAATGCACTACTAGTTTATTCCTTCTTCACACTATGTTAATTCCGACGGAAATGGAACTCTATGGAAAATAAGTCAAAGAATTTTTACCGCACTATAAAAAAAGGAGATGTAGTATGATTGCCAATGAGACAACTATCCGCCAAAGTTCAAATGAGGTGGATGCAAGCAATTATAGGCAACCGTACGGCCTTCAACAATATATTTTATAAGAGATCAGCACTGCACACTGTTTGGCAGTGATGTCATAATAGCAAAATCAGTGAAAAGCTAAAGAGATGTCCAATTAGATTTTTATGACAAATGCATAACCGAGAACAACCGAATCACATGTTAAAAATCCATCACCCGGAGAAAGTATTCACAAGTCGAAACAGATCTAGAGAAACTGTTTTATGTTATACGTCTTATTTCAGATGCCAACCTGCAGCACCAAATAGCTCCACTAAAATCTGGTCGTTCACACCAGATGGAGTCAGATGCCATAATCAAAACTGAAGCTTCAAGACATTTAATGGAAAAGTAAGAAACCTTTATTAGTGTATCTTATTTGCGAAATATTAAGAAATAGAGAGATAAATAAATAAATAGATTAATGACTAATTGCTATTTTACCGTTGGTCAGTTTATGTTGGCTATATCATTACCATGCTTCCGGGCAAAAAATAAGAAATATATGTTAAAAATTTCGTGTACAACGATTTCATAAATATTCACCAAAGTCATTATATCAAATTATAGAATTTTTATAAATCTATGACATATTGAAACTATATTGAAATATGTACGTTTTTGACCAGAACGGGAAAGACAGCAGAGGAGCTGATGGCAGATGAAGTAATTAACAATGCCTTCAGAGAACTTGTATGTCCCTCATCAACGGTTAGTTGCACACCGTCAGAATACAGAACAATGGATGGGTCCTGTAACAATATGAAGAACCCAGACTGGGGCCAGTCGTTTACTGCTCAAAGGCGATTCCTTCCACCGGTTTACGGCAAGTCATAATTAAAAAGTCATTGATTTTTACAGTGAATATCAATAGTTATTTCTAATCTTATCAAAACCAAAAGCCCCAACGATTCTTGTGGTATATACATATGGTCATCACTGGACTTCTCCCACCCGGCAGTATATCCATCCAAATAGAGATGTCCGTTTGGCTGTGCGGGATGTATAAATATACTGCCTCTGCTGGTCAGAATGTTGATGTATAATCGGACGACTCGTGTCAGGGTCTTAATTATTACTTAATAACACCTTTGCAACAACTTCGAGGGTGAGGGGGACGGTTGCAATGCAAAATTTATGCCCCTTTCAAAATACTCTTATTTTCAAGTTGCAGTCAAAATTAAATGTTTCCTCTTTTCATTCCGGTCGACCAATTTTCCAGAGGCTACCTTAGTAAGGAAATCATTGTTTCAGTCAATTTGTTGAAATCAACTTATTCTCGTCCGGAATATGCATATAACATTTGCCACTGGACGCTAGGCAAACAACAATCTTTTAATCATACCATATCTTTCACGGCCGTCCCTATCTCCAAAAGTGCCACACCTAGGTTAACGAAGCAGAGTGAGCGATTTGGCTTCAATCAAAATGTAATTACCGATTAAATCACCAGTATAGAGACTGTCTGGATATCTTGCTGTAAGTTCTACAGCCAATCGTTGAAGACCTTCACTAAAAGCTTTGATCCTTTGTTATGTATGGTTAATTCTTAGCAGCTAATGAGTTAGTTGTCTCATGCACATCCAGCTTCTATCCGTCTCATGCACATCCAGCTTCTATCCGTCTCATGCACATCCAGCTTCTATCCGTTTTCAAATAAAATCGATCGGTCGATTTTTTCTCGAAAAATAAATAGAAGCATTATTGGTGCAAATTCCGTTTTATTTCTTAATTACTTTATCATTATTTCTATTGTTTACAGCATCCGGTGACAAGCCAAGAAATTCGGAAAACCTTCCTTCAGCAAGGAAAATAAGTAACGATATCTTCAAAGCAACAGAAACTGTTCATGATAGGAAATATTCTGGACTTACAATGGCATGGGGACAACTAATAGACCACGATGTTACAAAAACCCCAACAGCAGGTACGATTTTACTCAATATTCAAACAACTTAATGCAACATATTTTGAATTTTACTGTAACTATTGCATAAAACAATCCTATCCTAACAAAATAATAAATGATCATTTGTACAACAATTAGATATATACACACACAAACAAACGCATAAACATGTCATTTATGGAAAAGATCTTAAAATCTGTTTTCTGCTTTCAGGAAGTATTGACTGCTGTAACACAACAAATGCAGACAAGTAAGTTAGATAATTCATGTTGAAGCTGTCGACCACAGTGCTGTCGACACTCTCATATTTATGAATTTCACAGGACAATTAGTTTCAAACTTAATGAAGTATGAATAAGGAGACATTCAGACGGCAAGACCAGGAAATCGCCAGACGCAAAAGGACAGGATTTCCAGTCAAGAGATTTGTCCTCTTGTTAGATTTCCTATCATTGCTGACTAGGACCAGCCTCGTAAGGGATTGGAAATCTTATAACTAAAGGTGTTTTAGATTTCCAGGTCTTGCACAATTTCCGCTGTTTGATTCTTAAAAAGATCTCATTTCTGCACGTGATATTTGGCCACCAAAAGGATGAGAAAGGAACAGTGGAGTCCCTAGCAGCGAAACGATACTTAACTAACAACATGATTACAATTGATGTACACATCAACGAGACAGCAATCCAGCAACACACACAATAAAAAAGACAGGGTTCAGTAATGAATTAAATGATTAATAATAAATAATAAATACAATAATTGACAGGATCTGTATTGTTAGATCTTATAACCTGACGAATACCGGTCGATAAAACTTCAACTAAGACTTTGTATATGTTTTTTTTCAAGTAAGTCTCGCTATTTCCAGATATGAAGTTATTAGCAATCAAATGCAAACAAGAGAAGAGCAGAAAACTGTACTGTCCAATAGTCAAACACTGCAACACTCACTTTTCTGGAGATCACCCATCTTACTATTTACAAATCAGTTATATGCAAAACAAATACATGCATCAAGATAAAACAATCGTGTTGATCTCTGAAAAATTCATTTGTGTATTGCTATTGTATCTATTTATCTGCTTTACAGTCCAATCTGCTTCCCAATTGAAGTACCTGAAGGCGACGAACGTTTCTCAAATTGTCTTAATTTTGTTCGATCTGCAGCAGCAACATCTTCGACAACAAAAGGGTGTTTAAATGGTTAGTATATAGTGAGATAATTTCACACGAAACCATTACAATATAAGGTCACAACATTTATTGGAAGATTAAATGATGAAACTTACTGTTAGCATTGAAAAGCTGGTCCTTGATATATTGTAAACTTGGCACAGAACGTTTCAGGTCAAACAAACCTGCATGAAAGCGCCTTCAAAATACAGACCGTTTTTATTTTGTCAATTTGACAGCTAATTTCTTATTACATCAATATTTTCTCTGAGGAAACATCGTCCACAGAAAAATAACAACAACAAAACTTCAAAGAAGCTTTCCTATAGCTATTAATACATAGTCACACAAAATATGCATGCATGTGTCATTTTGGTGTACCCACATGTTTCCAATCACAAATATACATACATGATACAATGATACAAAACAAGGAAAACAAAGAAATTTTACAAAATATACTAATTTCGTCATCATGGTTTGTTGCCATGGTAACTCGTCGAACCAGAAATTTGTTTTTACTTTCTGAATGGCTTTTGTCCTTAATCACGTTACAGCAAATATAAGATTATGTTTAGTCACGATTTTGAATCACTAAATTTTGGGCCAAATATTAAAAATATTGCTCTTACTTCTTTTGCATCTGACTGAACGTAGCTGATTGACAGGTCGATTTCTTGTGTCAATCGAATACACCAAAAGAAATTAGCTCATCTTGTAAGAACGAGTAGCATAAAGAATAGCACAGGATCGCGCTGACGTCTGACGGCATATTTTGGAGAAACATGTTAGGTCCATGGGATCAAGACTGTCAGATCTCATAGCAATTTCGGTCTACCAAAAAAAAAACAATTTAGTTCTGGCTCCGTGTTAAAGGCCGTACTTTGACTATAATAGTTTACTTTTACAAATTGTGACTTGGATGGAGAGTTATCTTATTGGCACTCATACCACATCTTCTTATATCTGTCCAATTTGTCATCAGATATTCAAATTTCAGTAATATTTTTAAACGCAATGTTTGTATGAATAAAACAATTGGTCTATGAACAAAAGGAATATTGACAATACAATCAAACAATGTTATAACGTAAATATCTTACACAAACTTTGAAAGTCTGATCTTATTTTTTTTACAGATCGAAGAGAACAAATTAATGAGCTTACAGCCTTTATAGATGGTGGCATGTTGTATGGGTCATCTGACGACGAACTTTCACTTCTCAAGGATCAAACCAATACATGTTCGTTGTTTTCAATTTTTGTGCGAAAATTTTTTAAATACAAATTTCAATTTACATAACTTCAAACTTCTATAAACGCATTTAAACTTTGTTAAATTGCACTCCTGCATCTTACTCCTTAGTTTTATCTCCACGAAATATTGACCCATGTGTTCCTGCATAAGGATGGTAAAAGCAACTGACCTATTAAGAGCGATTTATTTGTTTTGCTTCTTTTTAAACATTCAAGTTATTTTATTTATAGATTTGCTGAAAACAAAGGAACCCGGAAACTTACTACCCACTGGACCCAGTTTTTGTCTGATAACAGATGATCAAGAGAATGATTATTGCCAGCACGCTGGTTTGTTTATTGTTCTTATGCTAGATTACAACAACAGCACATAGGATTTCATTAACAAATTTAGAAAATAACAAATTTTGAAATCTTCACGTCAGTATTTAGTTCCATTCCGGAGTCAAACGAAATAAAAAGTAACTGTAGAAACTGATATTTTTTATTTATTTTGCATATACATCAGGCTGTTTGCTTTCTCGTTTGATTTGTTTTGCATTTTGTCATGTTGGGGTTTGTATAGCTTGCTATGCGGTATGAGTTTTGCTCATTAGTGAAGGCCGTATAGTGACCTACAGTTGCTAACATCTACGGCATTTGCAATCATGCCACATCTTCTTGACTTATTCTTATATCAATATTGATACAGCATGTAAACGGAGTCATACTTTTTATGAATGAATTTTCAAATAAAATCTCAAAAGTTCTATTTGTATTTTTTTTGTACAATAGGAGATACAAGAGTTAACGTTATTCCAACGCTGGGTGCTGTTCATACTCTATTGGTTAGAGAGCATAACAGAATAGCAGAGGGAATAAAAAATCTAAATAGACAATGGTCGAACGACAAGGTTTTTGACGAGACTAGAAAGATTATGGGTGCTATTATTCAGCATATTACGTACAATGAATGGCTCCCGATAGTCGTCGGCGACCAGCACATGAACCAATACAATCTGAAATCTTCCGAGAGAGGCCACGTCAGTTCATATGATCCAAATTTAGATCCTTCTATACGAAACTCGTTTGCTGCTGCTGCACTGAGATATGCTCATTCTTTGATTATGCCAACACAAGCATACCTCGACAAAACCTACAGAAATGAAGAGAGTTTTAGTCTCGAGAGTCAACAGTTAAATCCACACTTGGTTGTTCAAGAAAATGGTGGACGATTGGAGGATCTTGTAAGATGGACTACTTACAAACCATGCATGACATCTGATAGGTAATGTATGCGTTGATATAAGTACACATCGGGAAAATGTTAATAAGAATAAGAATAAGAATTTTATTAGTTTAAAATCAAAACAATAAGATTGTTACTAAAGACAAACATATAAATAACAAAACGATAGACAGAAAACAATACAAACATGTAGCATTGGAAAAAAAATGTTAATATTTATAACAATACAATTGTTGACAACATACCTCCTCTATAAAGTTATCATTTCAAATATCTTGATTATATATACATTATAATATTAGTCATGAATCATACACAGTTCATGTATTGACATTATTCGCTCATCATACATTTCACTTATACTGTTAACAATGATAATTAATATATCACGTCGATAAGATGCAAATTTCTTCAGTAACTGTTACTCTTGAAATATCAATTAGAAAATGCTTTTGTACCGCCTTTTAAATTTTGAATATTAAATCTGTCTATGAAAGTTTTTTTTCCTTGAATTTGGAACCATTTTCAAGCATTGATGTAAATAGATATAAGAAGATGTGGTATGAGTGCCAGTGAGACAACTCTCCATCCAAGTCAAAATTTATAAAAGTAAACCATTATAGGTCAAAGTATGGTCTTCAACACGGAGCCTTGGCTCACACCGAACAGCAAGCTATAAAGGGTCCCAAAAATTACTAGTGTAAAACCATTCAAACGGGAAAACCAACGGTCTAATCTATATAAAAAACGAGAAACGAGAGACACTTATAAATCACACCAACAAACGACAACTACTGAACATCAGATTCCTGACTTAGGACAGGTGCATACAATTGCAGCGGGTTTAAGTAAAACGTTTTAATGGTACCAAACCTTAAATGTAAGTTTATTTATTCCTTGTTTCTGGTTATATTTTAGAATGTTTGAAGATGGAATTCGTAACTTTTTATTTGGAACATCAGATTTGCCTGCAAGGAATGTGCAACGTGGACGAGACCACGGACTACCTTCTTACAACGAGTTTAGATCGTTTTGTGGCTTACCACGGGCTAAAAATTTCAAAACCGGACGAAACGGCCGTGATGGGTTGCGTGACCATTCCAAAGAAAATGCAAGACTTTTGGAACAAACATATGAGTAAGTTAAATAATCATTTGAATATAATCGTAAGTTTCTTCATTTAACATACACATAATCATTGTATAAAAACTTGTCGTATGTAAACACTGTTATAAATAAGAGGACTTAATGCTCTGGCATCAAAGATTGACGCTGTTTTTAACTGTTTGTTGTTCAACTACGGAAAATACCACAGATACAGTTAAGTCTTCGACATATCTTGATTTACATCTAGAAATTGACAATGAGAGTTGGTTGAGAACAACACTTTTTTTTACGTTTCTATGTTGAACATTCCAGCAGTGCCTGCATATGAAATCTCTATATCTCCCAGTTATACGACGTTCCGAAAGCTTGCGGTTCCCAATATGGTTTCCTTGATATAGTGTCCCTGTTTACAAGGAAAGCTATATTGATCAAGGGTTTCAAGTTGTAACGCTGAAGTCATCCCTTCGAAAGTTTTACGAACGCCATCACGAGTTAGTTGTTTAAGCTGTCGTAACGACAATCCCGTTCTCGTTTCTTTGTTTATGACACTTATAATGAATGTTATCTAACATGAACAGCATAACGGTGTCACCTGAGCTACCCCCCACCCCCTAATTTTGTTGGAGTTCGTGTTGCTCAGTCTTTAATTTCTATGTAGTGCTTGTGGTATTTTGATAGTTTTTTCCGGGATTTTTTTGCCATTGTGTTTGCAGTTTCTGTTCAACTTGTGAGTTCTGAACAATATACAAAAACAAATAACTTTCCGATGGAGTTTTTCTGTAAACACTGGCCTGACTTTAGTCAGGTATATTTTAGTTAATATATACTTAATATTTATTTTCTATTTTTAGATCGATTGATGATATAGACCTGTTCGTTGGTGCTATCACAGAAATACTTGCATCGGGTGCTGACGTTGGTCCAACTTTCGCCTGCTTGATTGCCAAACAGTTTGATGTTTTAAAGAAAGGTGATTCTTTTTGGTATGAAAACCAAGGACTGCAAGGGTTTTCTGAAGGTATATGTTGTTTGTTTTTCATTAAGCTAAAAACCATAACATTTCATTCAGTTGTATAATGTGGTCTGTTACAGTAGTTTCTCCTTTTCCCTTTTGTGTATTGCATATCAGTTATCTGGTTTTATATAAGACGAAACTATGAAGAATTATATTTTGAAGTTACATAACAGAACCATTTTGCATTGCAGAAAAGCTTAACGCCATAAAGAGAGTGAGACTTTCCAGTCTGTTGTGTGAACATTTTGGTTTGGATACTATCCAGCCTGATCCATTCAAAATAGAAAGAGCAGGGAGATGTCCAGGATCATCGTAAGTATATAAAGTCTATGGAAGCTGTACTCATCGTTATGTTGGCGTGTACTTGTTAGTGTCGGATGTGGCGGATTTCGGTCCCATTTGGAATATTTGTTACGTTATCACTACTCTTCTATAAACAAATGCCTTACAGTATAATGCATTGTCAGCAAAATATTCATACAAAGCCGGATTGGTGATAAAATGTGGTAACTGATTACAAACACAAGTAATATTAGTTCACAAAGGCACTTTGTGTCAGGTGAGCTGATAAAAAATAAACACGTACACAGGTGTCACAACCATGACGTATGAATTTTGAAGCTATAACATGATTTGTATAGGAAGTGATAGAGAATTATGTCTAGACTCATTTAGATTTTGAGAGGAAGTGTTGTATACAGATGAATCAGTTTGGTCTATTTTTTTTGTTGCAATATAAAAAGTAAAAAAAATGTCTTGAAAAACATAACTTGATAAAGATATATATGTGCTTAGTTCTACATAAAAATATCAATAATGTATTTAAAATCTAAAACCAATGGAAACAACCATTTTTTTCACTTTCCTTCTGAGAAAATCTGTTTTCAAGAATTTTATGATGAAATATAATAAATGTGGACAAAGATGATGCCCCTGCTTGCATATCATATAAAATTATAAACGAACATAACTGAAGAACGATAAAAATGACGCTACCCAAATTTGAACTTGATCTGAGTTTTCTGGTAATAAGTATTGTGTATAAGTTTCATAAAATTTGGTTGAGGCAAACTTAAGTTAGAGAACGGAAACAAAAAATTCTGAAATTTTTCCGTTTGTAAAGGGGCAAAACTCTAGAACGGTTAAAGTGACACCACCAAAATTCATACTTGATCTGTGTTTTGTGGTAATAAGCATTGTGTATAAGTTTCATAGCATTTGGTTGAGGCAAACTAAAGTTAGATAACGGAAACAAAAAATTCAGCAATTTTTCCATTTGTAAAGGGGCATAACTCTAGAACGGTTAAAGTGACACCACCATTATTCAAACTTGATCTGTAATTTGTGGTAATAGGCATTTTGTATAAGTTTCATCGCATTTGGTTGAGGCAAACTAAAGTTAGAGAACGGAAACGAAAAATTCAGCAATTTTTGGATTTGTAAAGGGGCATAACTCTAGAACGGTTAAAGTGACACCACCATAATTCAGACTTGATCTGTATTTTGTGGTAATAAGCATTGTGTATAAGTTTCATAGCATTTGGTTGATGCAAACTAAAGTTAGAGAACGGAAACGAAAAATTCAGCAATTTTTCCATTTGTAAAGGGGCATAACTCTAGAACGGTTAAAGTGACACCACTAAAATTCAAACTTGACCTGTATTTTGTGGTAATAAGCATTGTGTATAAGTTTCATAACATTTGGTTGGGGCAAACTAAAGTTAGAGAACGAAAACCAACTTTGGGACGTACGGACGGACGGACGTACGTACAGACGGACAAGGGTAAAACTTAATGCCCCTCCGCTACTGCGGGGGCATGCATCATTGCAATACATAAAATTATAACGAGACATGTAATTTGTCATTGTAGAGATAAAGAAGACAACTGTATGGTTAGATGTTCAGAGATGAGACTCTTAGACTTGAGGCCATGGAGAGTGTAATGGTTCAACAATTTCTTCATATGTACTACCTTATCGCAGACGTATTCCTTGTTTTCATTTCATGTATCTATCTCCTAGCAGATTTATTTCTCGTGTTTTAATTGTTGCATTTTTTTCTAATAAAGAAGAAAACATAATTTTGTTTTAATTTTTGGTTATTTAAGATCTATACTTCTGATACACATCAAAGAGCCAAATGTATAGTTGAATCTGAGATCACATCCTAAAATATCGCAACAAATATTATGAAAATAATTTTATGACTGTTTTCATACCCGTTAATGTTATTTAAGATAGTTTATGCCACCAATCGTCTACCCCCAAAATACAAGTAGTTTAAATACATTAAAAGAGAGAAGGTATACCAAGAGGGACATTTAAAACTCGACCATAAGTCGGAGAAAAATTGACAACGACATTGCAATAAAAACGATAAACGACGAAAAGACAATCAGTCCACAAAACTTTACATAGAAAACTAAAGACTGAGCAACACTCACCCCTTCAAAACCAGGGGTGATATCAGGTGCACCGAAGGGGTTAACACATCCTGTTCCACATGTGGCATCCGTCGCGTTGCTCATGTTAAGTACACATTCAATGACAAGTCTCATTCGGGTATGTCCAAATCGAGGAAAAGAGAACAGGGTTGTGATTACGTAACGACAATTGACAAATAGCCGTGGTCATTTGGACACAGATGGCGGAACGTGAAAAACGTGAAACTAAAAGATAAAGCTACCTTCTTTTCATTCTTCATGAAAACTCCTGCTTGAATAAAGATACACATTGGCAAGAAGATGAGCAGAGTTGTTAGTTGAAAAACGCGACCTCCAAACGTAACAGATATGCTGTCGTTAAAAAAATCAAGCAACTTGATGATGTCAGTTTCAGAGAATTTATTGGTTTTTTTTATTCAGAACGTTTTTAAAATGATTTATTATCTACATCCGACTCGCGCAACTCTGAAGCCCTGCTTTGAGTGCTGTTTAATTGAAGTCAATAGTTTAAAACAGGTTTCAATGATAACTTGGTAGACCCAGCAGTATAGCAATTTTGTAATGTTGATATACAGGTTAGCGAAGGAATTAAATCCAATTCTTCATCTTTGGTTGAAATTCAAAAGGCACGTAAACAGACTATGATTGTTCAGAATTTCCTCTTCGGAAAGTGTTTTGGGAGTATATATTGAGTTTCAAAGTGAATTATTAATACCCTATTCCGTCATCAAGCAGATTATGTAATGTGATTGACACAAAACGAAGTATTTTGGGGTTGTATCTGCTCAAATACTCATAAGTATAATAACACCAGTTTCTTTTTATCATAGTTTACATTATTCAAGGATCTGTTTCAGCAATTGACAACCTTGGTCTACTGTGTCCATTATATAAAGATAGATTATTACCAAAAGACGAACCAGACGTGGCCACAATAAAGCGCAATAGCCAATATATTTTAGAACTAAAATTACAAGAGTAGATATTTGGGGGTTTGATAACAATCAGATGATTTCTCAGAAAATGAAGATATCTATCAGATCCGTTGACATATTGTAAAAAGAGATTTTATAAAATAAAAAATTTAAAAGAGCGTATTAAATAAACTGCCTCCATGTATTTCCAAAATGAAATAAGACGAACAAGGAACATCCTCAAACGTGATTTCCACGAAGAACATTTTAATAAGAGCTTGCCGACTTGGTACAAGCACTTCTCAAGAAAAATGAAAAGAAGCTGGTCTTTGACCTCACGTCCCGGTATATATGGATAATGTCCTTTCAATGAATATGTCAAAACTTTGGTGACTATCATGTTGACTGTAATTATCCAAATGAACTTGAAATAAAGGATACCATTCATACAGTTAAGTCTGCTTCGAGCGACACTATTGGATCTGTTTTGCAGACGAAACGCGCGATTGGCGTACAAAATAATCAACCTGGAATCTTTGATGAGTTTTTTCTTCTTCATATATATTGACTTACTTAGGAAATGTACAAGGATGGATGGTTAAGAACTAAACTTTACGATAAAAGAGATTTCCCATTTTGAACTTTCCGACACATCTGTGTGGCAACATTTCAGCATATGGATTATACATCTCCCAGTTGATACGGTATTCTAGATTTTGGGGTTCCTTTGATTTTCTTGTTACAGGTTTACTGGTTACAAAGAAGCTTTTGTAATTAGGGTTCCAAATGGTAAAGTTGAAGTCATATACATTCATACGGTTCACACATGTGGAGCAGGATCTGCTTTCCCTTCCGTAGCACCTGAGATCACCCACAGTTTTTGGTGGGGTTCGTGTTGCTCAGTCTTTAGTTTTCTATGTTGTGTTTTGTGAACTGCTGTTTGTCTGTTGGTCTTTTCTTTTTTAGTAATGGCGTTGTCAGTTTATTTTGACTTATGAGTTTGAATGTCCCTTTGGTATCTTTCGCCTCTCTTTTCGAAATTTTCATGTTTTGGGAGATTGTTATGAAATATATGTCTCATATGACCAGAGATATGATCCACTGGTCATAACCTTAATATGGTATTTTTTTTCTCGATTGTGACATTACCGAATGATATTTATCACAATGCTTTTACTTGTAATGGGTAACACGACAGGTGCCAATTATTGGAGCAGCAACTCTTGACCCCTTCCGGAGAGTCTGCAATTATCAACGATTTTTGTTAGGTTTCGTGTTGCTCAATCATTAATTATCTGTGTAGTGTTTTGTTATTGTTGTTTGTTTTTTTGTCGTTTTTTTCGAGCCTGCGACTTTTGTTGCAGAAAGCTCGACATAGGGATAGTGATCCGGCGGCGGCGGCGTTAGCTAACTTCTTAAAAGCTTTATATTTTAGAAGCTAGAAGACCTGTATGCTTCATACTTTGTATATAGATGCCTTATGTTACTAAGTTTTCGTCTGTCATATGTCCATTGTCCTTGACCTCATTTTAATGGTTCAGTGACTACTTGAAAAAAAAGTCAACATTTTTTGTAATGTTAATTTCTTTCTTATTATGAGAAATAGGACAACTATATTTAGTATGTGCGTACCTTGCAAGGTCCTCATGCTCGTCAGACAATTTTCATTTGACCTCGACTTCATTTCATGGATCAGTGAACAAGGTTAAGTTTTCGTGGTCAAGTCCATATATCAGATACTATAAGCAGTAGGTCTACTATATTTGGTATATGGAATGATTGTAAGATGTACATGTCCAACTGGTAGGTGTCGTCTGACCTTGACCTAATTTTCATGGTTCAGTGGTCAAAGTTAAGTTTTTGAGTTTTGGTCTTTTTTTCTAATACTATATGCAATAGGTCAACTAAAAATGGTGTATGGAAATATTTTATGATGTACATGTCAGTCTCACAGGTTTTATTTGACCTTGACCTCATTTTCACCGTTCATTCCTCAGTGTTAAGTTTTTGTGTTTTGGTCTGTTTTTCTTCAACTATAAGCAATAAATTAACTATATTTGATGTATGAAAGGATTGTAAGGTGTATATGTCTGTCTGGCAGGTATCATCTGACCTTGACCTCATTTTCATGGTTCATTGGTCAATGTTAAGTTTTCATGGCTTAGTTTGTTTCTTAGATACTTTAAGCAATAGGTCAACTATATTTGGTTTATTGAATGATTGTAAGGTGTACATGTATTTCTCGTTTGGTTTATCTGACCTTGACCTCATATTCTTGGATCATGTTAAGTTTATGTGTTACTTGTAGTAAAGCTTTGTATTTAGGACTATCAACATAAAATCAATGGTTAGTAAAGAAGGCGAGACATTTCAGCGTGTGCACTCTTGTTGGTAATGGTGTTATCTTATAACTTAAAGCTTTGGTGGCTAGTTATCTCATTGGCAAAATAACAAATCTCCTTATTTTTATTATTGTCTGTTTATTTAAAACTTATTGTTTTGATTGCCGTTTTTCCCAGTTAAAAAGTCATCGCCTGACTATGACCAACTTCAACTACTCAGGTCACAAACTGAAACAAGACTGCATCTCACAAAACCTGTTTAACCCTGTCGCATTTTTGCGCCTGTCCCAAGTCAGGAGCCTCTGGCCTTTGTTAGTCTTATATGTTTTTTTTTTAAATTTTAGTTCATTTATATGTTTCGGAGTTTAGTGTGACGTCCATTTTCACTGAACTAGTACACATTTTTGTTTAGGGGCCAGCTGAAGCCCGCATCCGGGTGCGGGATTTTCTCGCTGTGTTGAAGACACATGGGTGGCCTTGGGCTGTTTTCTGCTCTTTGGTCGGGTTGTTGTCTCTTTGACACATTCCCCATTTCCATTCTCCATTTTACATGCTGAATGTTTCGGTTCTTATGCATCCTCGGCTTTCAACGTTTCTGATGAAAGAAAATCCAGAAAAGCGCTTTGGACGCATGAAATTAATAACGTGTTGTTTCCATATGAAAGTTGGGGGGAATATTTTTTTACCCCTGTCCGTCCGTCCCATTATGGGTATATAGCTATTCCAGATAACTCCTCCTACAGTTTGAATGCTACGAAGTTTTCACTTTGCTGGCTGTTTGTACATATATTGAAGGTGTGCATGTGGTCAAGGTTTTGTTTCATTGATATTTGCTCTTTTGGGAGATAGTTGAACTTTGTCGGTTTTTGGAGTATTTACTTGCATAAGAGGTGCATAACGTTTCCGGATAACTCCTACTACAGTGAACCATAGACCTATGTGCTCCATACTCAACTTTCGTGTATTTTAAATTTGTTATAATACAGTTACTTCAGAGTGGAGTGCGGGGCATCTCTTTGTCTAGTATATATTATATATTTGTTCATTTTCTGTCTGAATCTACTGTGAATTCTACATAGTTTATTATTGTTTAAAGCAATTCATTATCTGCTGAGATACGATGTGGTTTGCATTTTTATGTTCCAGTTTAATATTTATTTTACGTTACACACGAGTATGGTATATATCTGCGATACAGGCTTGACAAATTATAATGGGTCAAGGATAATACACATACAGCAGACGGAATATAAGGCATCCGTGTACAAGATATGAAGTATCAAGGTGACTGGTCTTCTACCTTCTGAATATAAAGCGTTGGATGGAGACTTGTCTCATTGGCACTCATATCACATCTTCTTATTTCTATTATAGATTTTTT